ATTAAGAACATTCACAAGAGGCCAGCCCGAGGCACAGCAGTTAAGTGTGCACATTCTGCTTCGGTGGCCCAGGGTTTGCTGGTTCAAATTCTGGGTGTAGACATGGCACTGATTGGTGCCATGCTGTGGCAGGCATCCCACGTATAAAGTAGAGGCAGATGGGCACGGATGTTAGCTCAGGGGCAGTCTTCCTCAGCAAAAAGAGGAGGATTGGCAGCAGATGCTAGCTCAGGGCTAATCTTCGTCAAAAAAAAAAGAAAAAAAAAGAACATTCACAATGTGATGCAGCCATCACCACTACTTATTTCTCTTTTCATCACCTTTTGTGTCTGGGTTCTTTCACTTAGCATAAAATTTTCAGGGTTCATTCATGTAGTGTGTATCAGCATTTCATTCTTTTTCATGGCTGAATAATATTCCACTGAATGGATATGCCACATTTTGTTTATCCATTCATCAGTTGATGGACACTTGGATCGTTCCACCTTTGGCAATTGTGAATAGTGCTACAATGAAGACTGGCATACAGCTATCTGTTTGAGTTCCTGCTTTCAATTCCTCTGGGTATACGCCTAAGAGTGGAATTGCTGGGGGGCTGGCCTGGTGGTGCAGTGGTTAAGTGCACATGTTCTGCTTCTCGGTGGCCTGGGGTTTGCTGTTTTGGATCCCGGGTGTGGACATGGCACCACTTGTCAAGCCATGCTGTGGCAGGCGTCCCACATATAAAGTAGAGGAAGATGGGCATGGATGTTAGCTCAGGGCCAGTCTTCCTCAGCAAAAAGAGGAGAATTGGCAGTAGTTAGCTCAGAGCTAATCTTCCTCAAAAAAAAAAAAAAAAAGAGTGGAATTGCTGGCTGATATGGTATTTCTGTGTTTAGCTTTTTTGAAGGGAGGCTCCCCATTTATCAAGGGCTGGACCTGGAAATTGGCTCAGCACTCACTTCTATCGTATTTGATTGATCGAGCAGCCACAGAGCACAGATTCAAGATCAGGGGACAGAAATCCCCTCCCCCCAAATCAGTGAAGAATATCAAAGGATTTATGGACCTATTTTAAACCTCCCACAGAGTGCCTGGGGTGAGGGGAGGGCGGGCCAAGGAGAGACCCTCCGGGAGGCAGAATCAGACAGAGAGAACGAGCTTCAACTCTGGGTCTTGGCAGGGGCAGCCATCCTCTCTGCTGGGGGGTTCTTCCCCTGCTTGTTAGTTTTAACCTCTATTTTCTCTGCGAAGCCGAACATTTACATTCTCGGAATATCCTTTCCTGACTCAGACGCTGTCTTAGCTCTCTCTTCTTTTCCTTCACAGCACTTCCCAAAGTTCCTATCTATTTGTATTTATGCCGCTATTTTCTCTCTCCCAGTGGACTGTAACTGCGTCTAAAGCAGGAGCTTGTCCATTTTCATCACTATTGTATTCCCAGGGCCTGGCACAAAGCCAGACACCTAGTAGGGATGTGGTAGGGATCTGCCGAGTAGTTGAACTTGTGAATAATTCTTTGACTGATGAAGTACTGTCTGTCTCCCCTACTAGACTGTCAGCCCCACGCAGGGCAGGCCCATGTTTCTTTTTCTTTTTTTTTGAGAAGATTAGCCCTGAGCTAGCTGCTGCCAATCCTCCTCTTTTTGCTGAGGAAGACTGGCCCTGAGCTAACATCCGTGCCCATCTTCCTCTACTTTATACGTGGGACGCCTGCCACAGCATGGCGTGCCAGGCGGTGGCATGTCCGCACCCGGGATCCGAACCGGTGAAGCTCGGGCTGCCAAAGCAGAACGTGTGCACTTAACTGCTGCGTCACCAGGCTGGCCCCTCCATCTTTCTTTATTCACCTTATTTTCACAGGGCATAGTGCTTAGTGGATGTGGTAACCAGCCTCTAAGATGGTCCCCAAGTTATCCTCGGCCCCTAGGACTCACGCCCTTGCATCGTCCCTCCCACAATGAATAGAGCTGACCAGTGGTGACCCATGGGATACTGCAGACGTGACAGTGAGTGACTTCCCAGGCTGAGTCCTAAAAGGCATTGCTGCTTTCAACTTGCTCTTGTGGACCACTCCGTCTGGAGGGTGCCAGTTGCGGGGTCATGAGGGCACTCCAGCAGCCAGGTGGATAGGCCCATGTGGAGAGAAACTGAGGGCCTCAGCCATCAGCCAATCAGCCTGCCAGCCATGTAGATGAGCCACCTTGCCACACAATCTTCCACCCCAGGCCTCTGATGACTGCAGCCCCAGCTGACATCTGACTGCCCCCTCCTGAGAAACCATGAGCCAGAACTGCCCAGCCAAACTGCTCCTGAATTCCTGACCCACAGAACCTATAAGACATAAAAAATGTTTATTGTCATTTTAAGTCCCTAATTTTTTTTTCCTGAGGAATATTTGCCCTGAACTAACATCCACTGCCCCTCTTCCTCTATTTTGTATGTGGGTCACCACCACAACATGGCCACTGACAAGTGGTGTAGGTCTGTGCCCGGCAACCAAACCCAGGTCGCTGAAGCGGAGTGTGCCAAACTTAACCACTAGGCCACAGGGCCAGCCCCTTAAGTCCCTACGTTTTTACATAATTTATTGCATATCAATAAGCAACAGAGTAGGCATTGGCCAATTTTTTTGAATGACATTGTGATCTTGGATGAATTGCTGCTCCTTTCTGAGTCCCAGAGTTGTAATCTGTAAAAGGGGATGAAATATCCACCACTGAGGTTCACAGAGTGTGTACCTCATGCAGCAAGATCAGAGCACATAGTAGGAGCTTCATATGTCACCAGCAGTATAACCTCAGAGGAAGCAGGTGGCCACACAGCCTGGGTTTGAATCCTAACTTCACTATTTCTAAGACAGAAGACTTTGTTCAGGCTACTAATATTTAACTTTGCTGGACCTCAGATTCCTTGGCTGTGAAATGGGAATATTAAAGAATTTATCTGATCTTATAAGGATTAGAGAAATAATCCATGTAGGGGCCGGCCCCAGGTCCAAGTGGCTAAGTTCGCGCTCCGCTTCAGCAGCCCAGGGTTTTGCTGGTTTGATCCGGGGCATGGACATGGTGCCACTCATCAGGCCATGCTGAGGCGGCGTCCCACATAGCACAACCAGAGGTACTCACGACTAGAATCTACAACTATGTACTGGGGGGATTTGGGGAGAAGAACAACAACAAAAAAAGGAAGAATCCATGTAAAGCCCATTTAAACTCCATGAGAGGGCAGCTATTTTCTTTCTTTTTCACTGCTCTATTCCAAGCACAGATGTCAATGGTTGATGCATAGCAAGTGTCAATAAGTATGTTGAATGAATAATAAAAAGGCACCTTGCCTAAAGAACATACATATTAGCTACCACGAGGCCCTACATGATCCCCCACCTGTTTCATTTATTTTATTTTATTTTATTTTTAAGAATTTAAAAAAAATTTTTCCTCCCAAAGCCCCCCCCCGGGTACATAATTGTGTATTTTTAGTTGCGGGTCCTTCTAGTTGTGGCATGTGGGACGCCACCTCAGCATGGCTTGTTGAGCAGTGCCATGTCGGTGCCCAGGATTCGAACTGGCAAAACCCTGGGCTGCCGAAGCAGAGCGTGCGAACTTAACCACTCGGCCATGGGGCCAGCCCCACCTGCTTCCTTTATGATTTAATCTCTTACCACTTGCCCCCCTCTCACTTTGCTCCAGAAACCATGCCCTCTCCACAGTTCCTTACCAGTGCCAGCACACTCCAGCTTCAGGGCCTTTGCACCTGCTGTTCCCCCCTACCCAGTGTGGAAACTAATAAAAGAAACCCTAACTAAATTGGAGTCAGGAAGGTCTGTAGGGGGAGCTCTCACGCCCTATCACACATGGTCAGTTACACCAAACAGGAAGACACAGGCTCGCATCTTGAAGAGGAACTAAAACTACTTTACTACTGAAGGAAGATTTCTCTCCTGACCTTGGCAACAGCCCAGCCAATGTGTAATGCCACAGCTCAGCCAATGAGAAATGCCTCAGCTCAGCCAATGAGAAATGCCGCAGCTCAGCCAATGAGAAATGCCACAGTCCAGCCAATGAGAAATGCCACAGCTCAGCCAATAAGAATCAGTTGCCCCCCCAACTGTTACTTTCCCCCAATGGACTTTCCTTTAGAACAGCCCTGCCCCCTCCCTACTCCCTCTTTTCTCTATAAAAGCAGCTCTCCTTCTTTGTTGGATTTGCCTATGGTTTGCCATAGGATGCACTCTAGAATTGTGATTCTTTTGGCTATTCCTAAATAAACTCCTTTGGAGGGTTTTCAAGTTAACACCAGAAATGCCCCATCTCCCGGTTATCCACGTAGCCTGTTTCCTCAGTGTCTTCAGATCTCTGAGGTGCACAATGTCACCTTCTCTGAGAGATGTTCCCTGGCCACTTTTGTCACCCTGTAGTCGCATATCCTGCTTTGTTTTTCTCCAAAGCATTTATCATGGCCTGATTTAATATTGTCCTCTTTTTTCTTTTTTTTGGTGAGGAAGATTGGCCCTGAGCTAACGTCTGTGCCAATCTTCCCCAGCACGGCCTGATGAGCTGTGTGTAGCTCTGCGCCTGGGATCCGCGCCTGTGGGCCTGGGGAGCCCAGGCCGCTGAAGCAGAGCAGCTCAAACTTAAGCACTATGCCACCAGGTCACCCCTATATTTACTTTTCTTTGGCCCTCTTCAACAGAAATGTAAACTCCATGAGGGCAGGACTTTGTCTACTTCATGCGCCACCCTATTTTACACCACCCCGAATGCCAGGATTTCAGCAGGCGCTCTATAAATATTTGCTAAATTAATAGCTTCATAAATAACCACCTGGGGATCCTTGTCGAGCCACAGACCAGCCGTTTCTTAGCCAGGATTGGCTGGAGCCTCCGTCACGTGACTGGCAGGCCCGGGCCCGCCTTTGAGGCCGAGGAGGCCCACGTGGTCGCAGACTCCGGGGGCGGGGCCGGGCGGCGGCGGCCGTACTGCGCAGGCGCGGCCCCGGGCGCAGGCGCAGACGCAGCGCGGGCGCGCGGCCGGCGGCGGTTGGCGGCGCGTGGGGCCGGCGGGCGGTTGCTGTGAGGAGGACTCCGGGGCGGGCGGCGAGCGCCGGCGCCATGGTGGAGAAGGAGGAGGCCGGCGGCGGCATCAGCGAGGAGGAGGCGGCGCAGTATGACCGGCAGATCCGACTGTGGGGGTTGGAGGCCCAGAAACGGTCAGGGCCGGGCCGGCTGGTGGGGCGGAGGGGCTGCAGGGGGCGTCCGGCCTGAGGCGTTCGCGGCCCTCCGGGCGCGGGAGGGTCGGATGGGAAGAGGGGAGGCGGGGGTGTGTCCCCGGGGATGCTGGCCCGCCTGCGAGGGCCGGAGGGCTTGATTTGGGATGCTGTGGACGGTGTGGGAAGCGGGGGCGTCCCGGGGTGGGGAGGGGGCCGCTCCGCGTGATTGGGGGTCTCCGGAAGGGGCGTGGGGGAGTCCTGAGGGATCAGGAGGATGCAGACTCCGGGACTCGGATCCCCGAAGGGGCGGATGGCGGGCTTTGGGTCGGGGATGGGGCCTTAGAGAATGGGAGGGGCCGGGGATGCAGGGAAAGGATGAAGGCGGGGGGCGTAGTTCATTCATTGGTAGATCGTGGGCTCCCGTTCCCTGCTGGGCGCTGGGCAGCCCGGCGGACCGGACAGACGCGAGGTCCCCTTCTTCTGGCTCCCGAGGGCTGGGTCGATCTGGAGGAAGGAGGGTTTCGGAGGAGTTTTGGAGGAAGTTCTTTCAAGTGGGAGTCTGGAGGTACCTGAAGAGGTTGCGTGTGTCTGGATTCGGGGGCGCGTCCCGGGGCACTAAGGTTGGGCATTGCCTCGGGCATTGAGGAGTAGTTATCGGAGGGGACGTCTTTGAAAGAGGTGATGGTTTCGATCAGATGTTTATGGAGCAGCTGCCGCGAGCACTGTTCTAGGCACGGAGCTTGTGTCAGTGAGCTATGCAGACTGCTTACCCACATGGAGCTTACATTCTGGTGTTGGAGACAAACGGAAATCATGTCATATTAGGTAACGCGAGTGCTAGGGAGAAAAATAAAGCAGGGTCAGAGGACCAATGAAGGATGGCGAAGTAGGAGCGCAGTTTTGACAGGGTGGCCTTTCAGAGCGGTGACGTGGAGCCTCAGACCTGGGTGAGAGAGAGAGCCAGGTGCCGCCTGGAAGAACCTTCCTAGCATAGAGAACGGCCAGTGTGAGATCCTGGAGGCCAGCGCACGCGCGGCAAGTTAGAGAAACAGGGTGGCAGAGCCGGGGAGTGCTTTGCTTTTCTGAGTGTGCTGGGAAACCCGTGGGAGAGTTTTGGGCGGAGAAGTAACATGATCTGATTTGTGTTGTAAGAGGCTCACTGTTTGGAGAATGGATTGAAGTAGGCAGAGTGGAAGTGAGGATTTACCATTCCGGAGACTGCTGCAGGAATCCACTTGAGGCCTAAAGAGGGGGCCTTGGAAATCTGGAGAAGCGGTCAGATCTGTATTCTGGATGTTATTTTGAAGGCGGAGGGGCAGGATTTGCTGAGGGATTCGGGGTGTGGTGTAGGAGAGGCAGGACTCAAGGATGACTCCAAGGGTTTTGGCCTGAGCGACTTGGAAGGATGGAGTTGCCATTTACCGAGCTGGGAAAAGCTGTAGGGAAGAAGCAGGAGTTCTCTTGGACTTTTGTTTCAGATGTTTATTATACGTCTAAGTAGAAACAGGTGAGTGAGGTCAGCGCTGAAATCTGGGTGATGGGGAGGGTGTTTGATGGGAAGGAGGACAGAGTATAGAATTAATAGGTCTAAGGGTTGGGGAGGCAGGCAGGTTACGAGAATTTAGTTTGAGGGGTGGAAGCTTCTAAAATCTTTTGGTGAGAGAGAGAGAGTGTGGGTGTGGTGAGGTGGGGGTTACTACAGACTCATTTCAGATGTGTGGGGGCTTCTGTGATGGAGGGGGTGTTGTCATGAGGCATTAGCAAGCGTTCATCCGAGGACAGCACCTGAAATAGAAGGTGAGGAATTAGGGCCGGCACGGTGGCACAGCGGTTAAGTGCACACGTTTCACTTCGGTGGCCCAGGGTTCACAGGTTCAGATCCTGGGTGCGGACGTGGCACCGCTTGGCAAGCCATGCTGTGATAGGCGTCCCACATAGAAAGTAGAGGAAGATGGGCACGGATGTTAGCTCAGGGCCAGTCTTCCTCAGCAAAAAGAGGAGGATTGGCGGCAGATGTTAGCTCAGGGCTAATCTTCCAAAAAGAAAAAAAAAGAAGAAGAAGGTGAAGAATTAAATGATAAGAATAGCCCTGAAGCCTGAAGACATAGGTGGGGTTGATTGATTTCAGGGACTGCTGTTTGAAGGGCTGGAGTGTGAGGAGGCCCTAAAGGATGGCGGAGGGGACCCTAAGTATACTAGAAGGGTTCATCCTGGGGGTGGGGCAGCAGGCAGTTTGGTTTGAAGCGGGGTAAAGATGGTGAGGGTTAAACTGGCATGCAGTGAGGGAGGATTGATTTCTCTCAGGAGCACTGAGTAATGCATGAGGGCTCCTGAGGAGGGGAGGACCTCAGGGGCAGATCCAAGTCAGGATGTGGGATTCTTGGGAGGTGGGAGTTATTCTGAGGGAGCGGAGAACCTGAAGCTGATTGGCTGAGGGTCCTGGGCGGGAAGGAAGGGGTTATCTATAATTTGGGGTCTCTGTTTGTAGACAGTCTTAGAGTTCATTAAAGTGCTGTCTTGTCCATTTTTCAACTGAGTCTCGCAGCGGCTCTGTGGAGTCAGAAGGGCAGTGATTCCCTTCCCTGGACAGACAGGAAGGAGCTCTCCAAAGCAAATTCACTTGCCTTTAGGAAGCTCCAGGTGGGACAGGAGAGCTCCGGGGCCTGGGCTTCCTTGGTGGAATGGAAGGCGGCCCGGGAGTCGGCAGACTGCGTCCCGGCTGCAGTTCCGCCTCTGACTGTGTGATGTTGGGCCAAGGTTGTCAGAGAACTGGAAGGGAGGGTAACACTAATGAAAGGGGCCTTCCCGGGGACTCGTACAGTGGAGTGGTTAACAGTGGGGTCTCTTTCTCACACAGTGGTTGAGAGTTTTTGAAATTAGTTGCCAGCATTAAAAATCTAGAGAATTGGGTAAATTTGGGAGAATTCGAGCATCAGAAAGAATAAAATTGAGTTCATTTAAGAATATTTAATAACTTAAAATCCATTAAGGCCAAGATAATATTAAACATGAGAGAAATTAAAAACTCCTTTGTCTAGGTTGGAGGTGATTATTAATAACGTGCCTTCCGATGGGGTGAAGTAAACCTCAGTGTGTTATTATTGAAGTTTTCCTGCCAGATATGTTTGGCCCTAATCATGCTTTTAGAGAACAGAGGAACGAATTGAAGGACACCATTGAGGTAACGGTAAGATTCCAGAAAGTGAGGTATTTTACCAGACAACTGCCCTGCTTCTATTCCAGATGTCACTGTCATGGAAACAACAAGTGAAGGCACTGTTGTAGATTAGAAGAGAGTAAAGAGGCGGAGCTAGGTGCAAGGTGTGAACCTTGACTGGATCCTGGTTCAAAAAGAAAACTTCTACTAAAAAATCTTTTAGAGGGGCCGGCCCCGTGGCCGAGTGGTTAAGTTTGTGCTCTCTGCTGCGGCAGCCCAGGGTTTTGTGGGTTCGGATCCTGGGCGCGGACGTGGCACCGCTCATCATGCTGAGGCGGCGTCCCACATGCCGCAACTAGAAAGACCCTCAACTACAATATACAACTATGTACCGGGGAGCCTTGGGGACAAAAAGGAAAAAATATAAAATCTTAAAAAAAAAAATCTTTTAGACAGTGGGGGAAATTTGAATATTCAGCCTGTTAGATGATATTTGGGGATTATTTTCTAGATAGGATAATATTGTGGTTATAAAGGAGAGTGTGGTACTTTTGGAAATGCATGCTGAGGTGTGTAATGCCGTGATGTAGGTATATGGGTAAAGCCAATAGGGCAAGATGTGAACTATTCTTTCTACTTTTCTGTATGTTTGAAATTTTTTATAATGAGAAGTTGGGGGGGGGGGATGTGTTGTTCCACTCCTAATCTGGAGATTTCCCATAGAATTTCTGGTTTTTGTCTTTTGAAAAGTGGGAAAGTGAGACATGTCCACACTGATTGGAGCTAAGTGGAGGCTGCCTTTTCCTTTTGCGTCTTCCTTTGCCGCGTCTCCGTCGGTTCAGCTTCACTCTTGGACGTGATTGCCTGGTCCCGCAAGCGTGTGCGTTTGCATCTCTTGCTCTGGTGCACAGCCCGTGTTATGGATGAGGTTCGGGGAGGGGCGCCGACTCCCAAGGCCCCACACCAAGTAGATAGACGGAGGACTTGACTCTGAGTGAGCGACTGCAGGGGCGCTGCTGTTCGCGTGACGGCCCGTCTCCCTCACTAGGGGCTCGTTCTCTCAGATCCACAGAGAGGCGAGTGCTGGAGCCGGCAGCTTGCGTGTCCTCAGAATGTGTGCTTCGGTGGCTTCTGCGCTGCCCCTCACAGCAAAGGCGTGTGGAGTTTTGCCTCTTGCACGCCACAGTAGCTTGTCCCGGATCTAGGAGTGAGGAAGGCAGGGTGACTGGAAAGAGGAAGTAGGTTATAAGCTCTGTGAGGGCAAGCACTTTATGACTGCTCCCTGATTAAGACAAGGGTTTGACTGGCCTCTTACATTTCCAGTGCTTGCGGGTTGGTAGACTTTAGATATTTGTTGAGCGAATGAAACGATTGTACGTTGCCAAGACCTAGAAAGTCGGGACACCTGGGGTTAGTTCCCAGCTCTGCTAGCACGCCGTCTGACCTTGGAGGAGAGAGTTTCTCGGCCTTAGGTTCCCCGTCTGCAAAAAGGAGGGCTGGGTGTGACTAAATCTCGCAGGACTCTTTCAACTCGGAAATTCTGACTTTGCAAAGAAAGGATGACAAAAACTGCCCTGTTTTCAAACACGTTACCCAACACTGCTGCTGTTCAAAGGGACTTCTGGAGGCGCACGTGAGCCGTAGGAGTGACTGAGCACGTCCTGTGTGCTGGAGGCCCGTCCCAGTTGTTTCATGGAAGGACCAGCGTATGGCACTGGTTGATAGTGGTTAACGGTTGAGTTTGGATCTCCACTCCGGAACTTCTTGGTTCTGTTCTCCTGGATGCACAGCCTGTCTCGGTGCTTCAGTTTCTCATTCATCAAGTGGAGGGAATAGAGTCTTG